GCACTTTAACTTGTTGTCTTTGATGGTGATGGCAACAAGATGTGGTTCACAAGCGTACACTGTGACCTGTAAATTCTGGCTTATAATTTAAGCTTTCATCGACCTTCTCAACAATTAAATAATGAACAATGAATATATCCCTCCAATGCGTAGTTTAGGCCCTTTTGGTTACTTCTCAATGACATCTGATCGTTATGTCCCCAAAAATCATCAATTGCCTCCTGCAAAATGCTGTGTACTGTGACACCTGCCATAGCGCCGGTCACTGAATGTTGATAGTTTGTCTGAGTGAGTGGAGGGGGCGTGGCTTAGCCATAGGTCAATTGGGAATGTTGGTATTGGCGGTGGTAGAAGTAGTACTCAAAACTTTGTTTGTATGAGTGGTTCTCAAGAACCAGACAGCTTGCAGTGTCTCTAATGAGTCATTGAGGTCCAGTTCATCTGAAACAGGAGTGTGTATCTATGTTCCCGGGGTCCAAAGTTCCCCAATTCAGTATTCTGATAACAGACATTACCCTCCATTTGTGTTCATGCCACTTTCTTGTCACTATGTCGTTAAATTAGCTTTGATTTACTCTGCAGATCAATACATATGACATATCAAAGAGCCATAAACAGATTGAAATGTTAGGTTAAAACGGATGCGTAAAATTGGGTGTGAAGATTTCGAACCCCCTTACCATTTTTTCATAGCCTTAACCTTAGATTTTACCTTAAACTGACCTTTGACCTCTTTCCTTACATTAATCTGTTTAGAAATGGGGATTTAAAAAAAGGCCCTAAACATCTTTTCTTTTTTAGCCCCTTTTTTATTCCTTAATTGGTTAGTTGTTATTTTTTTTCCAATTAATTCTTTCTTATTATAGTTTTTTAATTCCTTGGGCTGCAGTTAATTTTGGAACTGTTCTCCTCACCGACAGAACAACTATATTTAGACAAAGACATTTGCCAGTATAGTTTCATCACTCTCAGTCATGATTTTAGTCCCCTTACCTGACCCATGTCATATCAAGCAAATACAGTGCTGGGGAACATCTTTCTCAGGCTGCCATTATGTGCTATGTAGAGCCTGGGAACATAGCACCTTGGGGAGGCACATATGGGGAATTGGGGAACGTAGGATCCTCTGTCACTTTCCCATTATGTGCCATATAAATCTGGCAAACACAGGACCCTGGGAGAGCACATAAGTAGAACTGGGAAAAATGCGACATTGGTAACATAGGAATGACCCCAATGAAATGATGGGAAGAACTGAGATCTGTCACAACTTTACTGTTCTTTCAGGCTAATAATTTAGTGTGTTTGTGTTTTTTGTCTGTGGGATAGGTCTTTTGGTAGGTGGTGCGTTTGTTTTCGTTTTTTCTCTCTTCATTTGTTGCACTTCGTTGTATTTTTCTTATTTATTCTGTACTTCTGCATATCTGGGGCAAATTTTCCCTTGTGCTCAGCTCATGTTAGTAAAAATGGCAATTTTTTAGAAGCCATGTCATAAACATAGCCAAGTGCTCCAATTTGTCTTTAGAACATAAAACGGGCAACACACTGACATGGATACAAAATGAATGCAGAGTACTGCATAGCTGCTGGACCACCTGTAGTGAATATGCTTAACATTGAGCATAACGTCATTGTTAAGCACATAAAGTATACCTGCAGTGAAATGTACTATATAGATAAAACTGCCTTACTTTACTAGTATCATAACAACCAATTAACCTACTCAGATTGTGTTTTGCATGTTAGTGCATCAGGCCTCAACCTGCATCACTGTGCAACACAGAAACCTGGCTAACGAGTCTGAGAAATTGCTGATCTGCCTTAAATCCTGCTTGCATGTTATTTGACTGTATCAGTGAGGACAGATAAAGAGATGAGTGGCACTGCTACTCGCACCGACTCCAGTAATCACATTACAAAAACCTCATTATCTACATAAGTCTTCAGGAAAAAATACAGGAAGAACACCAGAGTAATCACTTTTAAAGTTTTATTCATTACGCTGCAGTTTGACTACAGCATAAGTACAAGCATAAAATCTTTGACTACAACAGCACTTAGAGCAACATTTTTTGATTTTTTTCTTTTTTTCTGTAAAAGTATTGCAATAACAGACCTTAGGCCTAAAACCTATTACATCACAATTGCTTAAATAAAAAGAGGCAAAAATACACAACAATTTTACCTCTGCGTTTGGATATATATGTACTGTATGGTTACTGGATACAGTCATATATATCTAGATTTCAGCACAGAGGGGGGAGGGGGGAACGAGAAGGATTCATTTTGTAAATAAAGCAAACTGATGTTACAAAACCCATGATGGAAGCAGTCCTATGGTAACTGTCAAGACAGAGAGAATACCAAACTGTTGAGACATTATCATTGTTATTATTATCATTATTATTAAAATCTGGAACGATAAAAACAGCTACTTGTTGTCAGCAGTTGAGTACAGACTTCTGATAAGTGGAAAGAGGGAGCGCGCTGCAGGGGGGAGAAGTCAAAGAAAAATCAGTCTGAGCCCCAGTTAGTTCTTCAAGCTAGTGCAGGAAATGAAAATAAAGGTCTATTAAGTGAATACTTCATTTTCCATATGACAATTTGTGTATCAATTACTCACCCTGTGTTCCGTTGCGTCTTGCATGCCTCCACTGAATGAAGAATCCAAAAATGCAGGAAATAATTGATGAATTAAAGTCATGGGGGTCCATGTTTGACAACAGCAAAACTATATCATAACATTGGTTTTAAAAAATCTCATACAACTCGTGAAGTATGATCCAAGTCTTATTTATTCAGTCATATGCTCAGTACTTCCCAAATGGACAGTCCTCTACGATAGAGAACTGAGCTTAAAGTGAAGTTATCTATGCTGTCTTCTAAGCCATTAAGAAAAGCATTTATTTTACCTTGCTGAACAAGGAACCTGCTACTCTACCGCAGCCTCGATTAGTCAGTTTGTTTGTGTTACTGTGTGGCTTTTGTATCTGAAAGAGTGAGTTTGGATTCAGCAAAGTCACACAGTTACACAAACAAACTGACAGATCAAGGGAGTGGGAGACCAGCAGCTTCTGTGTTCAGTGAGTTAAAATGACTGTTTTTTTGTTTTGTTTTTTCAATGGAGTCTGGCTTTGAAGAGAGCATAGATAAGTTTCAATTTCTGTTCAGTTCCCCATCAGAAAGGGCTGTTGGGGAAGTACTGAGCCAACAGCTGGATAAACCAGATTTGATTTATACTGCACAAGTTGTATGACAGTTTGTAAACAGATGTTTTGCTATAGTTTGTCTGTTGTTAAATGTGGACCTCTGTGACTGAAATTTGTCAAAATTTTTCTCAGTTTTGGGATTCTTAGTTCACTGTGGAAGCATGTGAGAAAAACTAAGTTTTCTTTACAAATTCAATGTAACACAGGGTGAGTTACTGATACACACATGGTCATTTGGGGGTTGAAGTCTTCCTTTAAGAAGAAGGAGAGCTGAGCGGCGCTCCAACCAAAGTTACAATAGAGACTTTTCCAAATTAAAACTATACAACTGCCACTTATTTGGTGCTTTGAAGAGAAAATGGCGCGTTGCTATGTACATTGTCTATAGATAAGAATGAACATGCTCTGCGGTTATTGTACAGTGGAGTTATTTTCAGTACATACTGTAAATAAATGACTGCAGATTAAACATGACTTTTGTGTCAATATACTGTGCCACATATAACATTGTAATATAGAAAATAAAAAAAAATAATAATAATAAAGAGAGAAAAGTTAAATGACAGTTTTAACGGCATTTTTCACTCATTCCACAATGATGCAACTTTCTAATCTTGACCAAAAAGGGAATGACCAGTTTTCCTTGAATGTTTTACACTCTTCCTGTTTAACGTTAAAGGAGCTATATGCGACATTCAGAGCATATCTATGATTCAGAGCCTTGGGTAGGATAGCCTGCACACTGTTCTCAACATGGAGGTGGCTGAGACAGTGGCTGGCAGCTAACAGTGCTAACATTACAAATGGTGCTGACAGAGCCAATGGTGTTAACCTGGGGAAACCAGAGGGTGGGCGCTATACTTCCGCCACGATGTCGTCCACATATCAGCAGTAACCATCGTATGAGCGCAGTGCAGAGCGGTTGCAGTTAGCTAGCCAGTGGGATACACTCACAGGGACACAACCCGGCACAACAACCCACAGGGAAGCTCCATTACAACACACACAGAGGTAGCCTGACTTCATTCTCTGCTCAGGATGTCATTACTCCACTTTATCTTTACATAACAAATAGAACTTTGCTGCTTTATTAATGTCCTGAATGTCACTTACAGCTCCTTTAATGCAATCACAAGTCAGTGATCCTCCTGTAACGGAGCTGAAATGCTTTAACTGGAACACGACATCCAGCCAGACCTATAGCAGTGCTGAGTGTGCTCCACAGATTTATACTTTGGCAGATATACAAAATTACAGCTGAAAATAACTAAAATGTTGTTAAGATCTATGAGTACAGACACATATCCTTCCATATTTGGAAGTGCTGACGGCTCTCATGTGCAGTGGTCATGTGACGCGTCTCCCAAACTAGACAGCTTCGGCTTTTTGTTCAACAATTTACAAAGCGAGTAGAAATCCAACCGGAGCCCGGCTGAAGTCGTGGCATAAACAGCGACTGATGAGTGTGCGATTTTTAGTTTTCTTAAAAGATCTGTGGAATAGAACTATACATTTGTTAGTCGATTGCGGTGAAAATAAAACCACCAGCTGGTACCCAAATGATGGCAAGCACTGTGAAAGCTTGTTCTTAGATGAGGAATCCAATAAACAGGTGAATAATATCCTTTCTCAACAACTTCCTTATACAGAGGTTATCTCATCCTTATCATAACAGACTATTATTTATAGCAAAATATTATAAGTAGTAATTTGTATTTGTGTTGCAACCATATTCTAAGCATACTTTGCAAACCATGTTTTCTCATAAAAAAAAAAAAAAGACAAAGCACGTTTTTAACTGTAGGCATTTACAAATTTGATGTTGCCTTCTTAAAATTCTTATATTGTCTATACATTATATTACATTATTCACAACATTTTTTTGTGGTTTCTACCCATTGGGTAGGATATGTGCATAATATATTCAAGTTATATACAGCACCTTACAAACAAACAAAGAAAGACAGACTACTGAAAAAAGCACCGTTGGAAGTGAGGCACAACGAAGGTGGGAGCTTTTTGAGTGCAAGTGGGTTCCTATGTCTGCTCCACACACTGGTCAAATTACTGGTTGAAATAGCCTCAGCTGCTTTGCCGGGAGTGACCGCTCCTGTCTGGCACAATGGAAGCAAGCAGGCTGAACATTGCCGGTCCACTAGTAGGCTAAAAATAGTCAAGGTATGGCTGCAGTTTGAAGTGGCAGCCGGTGTTTTGCTGACATGGAAACAGGCACACTGCTGGTCCTGTGGTCACCAAATCTAACTTTCATGTAGAGCTTGGATTAAATGTGGTTTTTGTCCACTTCAATCACCGCGGGATCAGTCTGTAATCAAACAGGAGCTCAAGAGCTGAATAAGAAACACAGACCAGACTCCCAAAAGCAAGTCACCACTGTAACATCTGTCCACGACTTTATAAAAAGACAAAAATAATAATTTTTTGGCAAACCTTTTCTCACATTTCTGTTCCACTCTGCCAGACAGGCGGTCAGCCCGAGATAAAGCACCTGTAAGGATTCCAAGCAGCAGTTTGACTCAGGTGTGGTCTGCTCAAACATGAACATTAGGCACCTTATTTACTCACATAATAGTAACATGCAAACCTCCTTGTAGAAAACATAAAATTCATCTTTATATCCTCAATTTACAAGCTATGACTGCGCAGACAGAACAAGGCGAGAAAACAACAGAAAGAAGGAAGGAAAAGAGGAAAGAAATGCGGGTTTGAAGCAGGTCTGTACAGTCAAAGGCTGAAGTGTTGGGACAATCAATTTCCCGACGGACTTGCCCAGGTTTCTGCGTAACAAAATGTTAATATGGATCTTACAGGAAACAAGACCATGGTTTGTCTCAATACTTGTGCTTTTGACTGCAGAGGGTCAGATTTCTCTCCTTCTAGTTTTTGGATGAGTTGAGGGGACAGGATGGACAGAAGGACAGAGGACGGGGGTGGGGGGGCATGAGAAGCAGCAGTAGCAACAATATTAGCAGTAGCAGCAACAGCAATAGCAGCAGCGATGTAGTAACACACACACACACACACAAACACACAAACTGTAGAGCCAGATGGACACACTGACCAGAAACACACAACTGGGACATGTGCGCACATTCACTCATGCTAACAGAATCAAAAGGCTTTCGTTCAAACTGTCCCGAAAATGTTTTTTTCTCCACCTGAATGGTGTAAAGTCAGATATGAGCTCTAAGTGCACAAAGAGGGGACTGTTCACTTAGTTCTTTCTCATATTCAGGAACACTTCCAGGTTCACAGTCTAATGTTTCAACTGGAATTCAGCTCAGCATAAGGCCTCTTTGCTGCATTAGCATTACATGATACCTTCAAATACTCATTAATGCTGCATTAGGCAACTTCACACTGGCTGCAACTAGTGCCAGCAGAGGATAACTGGATGGTTCAAAGTGTATAAGACATTAGTCCCTAAAAATCATGAGTCAAAATATTTAATTAGAGCATTAAAAATATCCCAATCCTATATTTAGTATGTAGTATGTTGTATATTGTTACAGTGTATTGTTTTTGTAATTAGTATTCAAGAAATCAATGAACTTCCCTTACTTGTTTCTGTTTGTCCTACCAGGAAGTAATAAAAATGTGTGCTAATAGATCAATCAGACTGCAAAATGAACTTTGGAATGCTGCTGCCAATTAAGATATAAGTCTGGTGATATTCCATATTTTTGTTTTTACCATCAAATCCAACAAAAGACCCAAACCAACAATAAATGTAGCTACGAACAAGTGTTATGTGTGTATCAAGGCTTGACATATGTTCCTCTGTGACATAGGGCACCATTAATAAGTCACACTGTTGCACTAGCTGACATGTTCCTTCATTACCATTAGCACGCAGACACCGTAGTATTTTTTGACTCAATACACATACACTGCCCAGGTGCCCCAAATAACCACTAGAGTAGCAATCATGTATTAATCCACCACGGAATGTAGTCCCCAACAAATGCACCATTTTCTCCTGTTTGAGTAATGTTTAACAAAAAAATAAATAAATAAATAAAAAATACACTGCCCAGCTGTTTTATGATAACAGTAGCCCTTTTTACACAGAAATCGTGTTGTAGGGCCTTTACGAAATCCCTTCTTTATGTTTTCTTTGTCTTTGTATTTTGTATTTTTATTCAGAACCAAACAACTATGGCATCATGCTGCCCCAGTGCGCAATTTTAGTCAGCATGCCGGCATCCCAGAAGCTAAAGAGGTGTGACAATTACCAAAACAAGAGTTGGCCTCTGGTGTGACATATAACTGACATGTCAGCAGCGCTTTGTAAACAATAATAATGGCATAACATGGCAGTAATAATCATTTAGTGTCCCTGTTATATGGCGACTGATCTCGTTCTCTACTCCAAGGGTAAGGACCTCATTGTTTTCCCAATTTGTGGTCATTTTCAACTGCTTGTCTTCTTCTTTGAGTTAGCTGCTAACTGTTTCTAGTTGCTTTTTAAATCTTCTGGTGGTGGGTCACCCACATAACACATCATCAAAATGTCACACCCACCTCGTCCTTGTTCCCGTCCTGCTGGCTGTTCCTTTTTCACAGACCTTGATTCTGCGCTGTTACTACCTTCTCTGTCGGCTTAAAGGTGAGACAACTCTGTTTCCCAATTCTGCAATCGTACCTTTAACACTAAACAGCGAAGTAGCATAATGGTGCGATATTCCCACCTTGAACAGGTAGTGTAAAAGGGGCTATCTACTTAACCGATTAAAAATGAATGCAGTTTCTCAGCCTTACGGTTTGTTCTTGACAAAGAAAAATTAACTCAAGGTCCATTTAGTACTTTTTTCCGCAGCTTTTTGCTACCTATCTCGGTCTCACTTAACAGATAAATAACGTTTTCTCAGTTTAGCTCAGTTGTTAAAATTTGACCCAAGTACAGAACACAGCAGAATATATGAGGGGAAAAATTCTTATGCCTTTCCTCTGTTCAAAGATAGTCTTCACCATTGGGTTTAGGGGATTAATGTCCCATGCCAAACAACAGCTTCGGAAAAAAAGAGCAAGTGGACAATGAGTCAAGAATTTTTTGTTGTATAGAGACAAAGTAACACACTGTAGGTTTTGGTCTTTTCATGGGATTTGTTGACAATAAAACACATATGGAATAACACCAGCCTTATCTTCTAATCTCACCAAAGAGAAACAAACTGTTTTCCAAAGATTTAGTACTTAATGTTTCCTCAGATCTTCCTTGAGCTGTCTCACTACCATCCACTGTTTAACATTTTGCAGCAATGAGCAGCTCCTCTATTTTCTTTGTGCATTGCATTGAGGGACAACAGTGTCCATCTAAACTCCAGCCACAACACACGCTTTGTGGACATTCTCAGTGTGTGAATCTACTGAATCACCATTATTAAGAAAGGTGGAGTTTACCTTGTGTTGCTTTAATGGAACCTGTGGAGTGGACTGTGGCATGCACATTCGTTGGGCTTTTACAGTGAGGTCGCTTCTGCTACAGAATAATACCCATCATGCATCACTGGATTTAATAAATGCTTAATTAATGATGTGTTAATACGGACAGTGCCAAATAAGTAACATGTCCTTGAATCCTTAAACTCAGACAAAGCAGTTGATTAATAAATCACTCGCATAAACACAGACACAGACACAATGCTCCTGCAGGAACATTAAGTGCCCTTCTGTGTTTTAAAAGATCTGACCAACAAAAACACACACACACATGCACTCTCTCACACACACACACACACACACACACACACACACACACACAGGGAGGAAAGGACTGCACTAGCACACTGCCAAACAAGGGCTCCACTCCAGTCTCCACTTTAAAGGGCTTGGCGGACTCTGCATCATTTGAACGCACTTTTTCTGCACACGGATGGAAGGAGGGATGATGAACAGTGACCAGAGACACTGTTAACAAGCTGGGATGGGGGTTAGAGAGAGGGAGGAGGGGAGCACTGGTGTTGAATGCAAACAAGATAGAGAGACAGAGAAAGCGCAAGAGCAGAGGAGAAGGCAACGATGAGCAGAGAAAAAGGCTCAATTTTCAAAAAGGTTTTCTTTTACAAAAAGGACCCTCCCATAGCCCTTTGACTTCGACCACAGACAGTTTTCGTTTAAAACCTGATCGCTGTGCTGGCGGATGCAGACAGGAATCTTCACTTTGTGTCGTCCTGTGTTTTTTTTTTTTTTTCTTTTTTGTGGCTTTAGAAACGTGAAGACGGAGAGCTGAGCCTTCTTTTTTTGTTTTGTGTTTTCGTTGTCATGGCGCCGGGGTTCGTGTTCAGTGTGGCTGTTGGCAGAATGAACTGTGCATGTCGAGATGAGCGGTGAGAGGAGAGGAGGAGGTGGGGTGGGGAGGGGGCTATGGACGCAGGAAACAGGAAAGAGGAAGTGTCAGGTGCTCAGAGGTTGGGACAGAGTTGAAAAGTGAAGAATCTGCTGTGACCATGCTGCTGGATGGACAGTTAGATATGCTTTCCTTTTGTTATGGAGTTATGCTATTCTTGGTTAACTTGATATCCAACCACCTGGCCAGATCTGTTAGTATGGAGCATGTTGGATCTTGCCAAGCAGCTCTCATCTTTCAAAGAGTTTAAGAACTACTCTGGTTTTGGAAACCTATCTATAAATCTTGTAACAAACTACCAGAGGAAGTGAGAAATGTTTTGTCCACCCAGCAGCTGATCACCAGGCAGATTTCTTTCTCACAGACGTGAGCAGTACAGGGTTATTCTCTTACTAAGTCTCACTGTGCCTGTGGTGTAAGCAGACAGAGATGTTGTAGGCTGGGTACGAGTATTTCTTGCCGTTTTCAAAAAAAGGAAGGACATAAGCTTATAATACTTTTTTTTTTTTTGCTCCCAACTGTTTAAACAACTTTGGAGGCAAAGTTCAGTCAGTCAGTCTATTCATGAAAAGGACGAAAAAAAAGAGAGAGAGAAAAAACAAACACATCATTATCATCACATAGCATAATTTCCCTCTTCTCTTTTACAACAAAAAGATAGTGCAACTTTTAGATAACTTTTCTTTTTTGTGTTTTGAATGTTAGAACGAGTCATTTCTTCCCCCCTTTGCTTTGCTTCCTTGTGAACCTTGGCACTAAGATTTGGGTTTGTGAGTCTCTTGTTTTTGTTGTGTTCTCTGTTAAGTCCTTGATTCTCAGTTCTCGCTTTGTGCACAGATCCCGGTCCGAAAAAAGAAACAAAAAAGAAAAAAAAAAACCATCATCCTCAGTTCCCGGGGACAGAGCACGTCACCCGAGGGGACGAAAAAGCAAATCGTTTCAATCTGTGCTAGCAGTATGTTTCTTTCTCATGTAGGGGAAAAAAACAAAAACAAAACTCTCCACGCAGTGCATACATCCTGCCCCAGCAGTGCTAGCTGTTTGAATGACTAACATTGGAAAGAAACAGAAAAATCAACTCTTGGTTCCTCTTTCCTTGTTTTGTTGTAGCTAAGGTTGATATTTATTTGTGCATGGGAGTGTGGAGAGAGGACATGAGAGAGACAGAGAGAGAGAGAGCGCGCGATAGAGAGACCACTGCTTACAGGTGATCAGGGGTGAAGAGGAGAGACAGCTTTCAGTCAGGGGTGGGTAGCCCCGCCTGCCCCCCTACCCTTTTTCTTCACACCAGGTCCTCCGGTTGGCCGTCCTTGGCCTTGGCAGGTACTATTGTGCTTTCTGATTGGCTCTGCTGCTGGATCGTCCTGCTCCCCGGCCCCCCCACCCTCTGGTTATTGCTGTGCTGGTGTAGAAAGAAAGCTGAGCCGGGGTAGTGGCCCATCACCTCGCTGTATGCTGGCGGGGGGCCCTCCATGCGCCCGTGGCTGCTGGAGTTGGCCACACTGATGCCCGAGTTACTGCTTGGCGGCCTCGGCCCGCCTCCTCCCATTCCTCCCCCTCCACCCCCCACCCCTCCAAGGCCCCCGCCTCCTCCCATGTCGATCAAGTCACTGTCGTAGATGGTCCGGTTGGGCGGTGCCCTCACCGACTCGCGGTTGAGCTCCATCTGCTGCTCGGGGTCACGAAGCTGCAGGGTGCAGGGACCCTGGTACGGCGGGGGCTCCTCACCATCCGACAGCGAGATGGTGGGTGGCAGGTCGATCTGGTGCTGCAGGTAGGGGTAGGTGGGTTGGAAGCGGCTGAATCGGTCGCGCTGCATGAAGGAGGGAGCGGTGAAGCGATCCCTGGCCTGGGGAGCATATAATACCTGAGAGAACGACAGAGAGGGAGGGAGAGAAGAAGAGCCAGAGAGAAGAAGACAGGAAAAAGAAGGAAGATATATTATTTTTCTGATACATTCCATAATATCGCAAATATCTTCATATCAAACAAACTGATATTTAATGCCATTAAGTGGAGTTCCACTGTAATACTGTATATCACATCAGGGAATACTCTTCATATGTGCTAAAGAAAAAATTCCAACAACCATTTTGGTTTTGTAATTTTAACAAGAATTCTGTAAAATGAAAAACAATATAATCAGATCTTGATAATACCAGTGACAGTGGAATCAATGATAATAGTGAATTGCCCAGACAAACAAATACTTAAATAAAAAATAAACCCAAAAATAAACTCAAATAAAAGAAATACTTTCATAACATACATAGTGAATTAATATGTCACTCAATCCCAATCACTGGCATGAATGGGCTGCCACTTTGGAATGTTTGCAAAGTTCTTAATACCTCCATGGTCCTGACCCCCAAGGTACTATAACAACCCTCAGAACTGATATGTAACCTGTGCGGACATACCTACATAAACCCTACATCTGTTAAACTCTTCCACCATGGACAGTACTCTTAAACGTTAGCAGGGTTTAGGCTTGGGCGATATCTGTTTTTTTTCATACCTTCATAACTTCCCAAACTTTCACTGATGTAGACAGTACATGACGGTATTTCTGTGCCAACTAGTTAACTACGTTCTGCAAGCTCATGCAGCTTTTTTTTTTTTTTTTTTTTTGTATTTCCTATTCTCTTACCAATTATGCAGAGAAATGTCAACTACCAATGCAATGGTCGGTTCTGTTGGTACCAGTCACACCTTTTGACATTGTAAATGCAATAATAACCGTTCTGATGTGTAACGAGCAGAACTGAACTGAACCGACTGCTTGGTGGAAACAAGGCTGAACTAAAGTGCTTCTCAAAATTAGACCTCATGACATTTATTACAGGCGAGTGTGAGGAGTATACTACAAGAATGCTCCACAAGCGTAACCGAATTTGATGTAAACACTTCATTCCAATGTCTCACCGATGTATCACCAATTAATTATTAAAGACATAACATTGTAATCACAGTTAACATGAGAAAAGATACAAAGCGCCTTCTACAACTGAACAACATTCAACATATCGGTTCATCCTCCAGCTTTTGTCAGAGATCTTCACCTCAATTAGCTCTTCAGACTGTGACTGCGCGATCCATTTCTTCATTTCTCACATTTCTGTCCAATTCAACACATTTCGACTGTGGCAAGTCATTATCAGAGGGAACCCATTTCAATTAGTGACTGTGGCTCTAATAGTCAACCCCCACTGACAGACAAGGCAGTCTGGATGGAGAGAACAACATACTGGAAAAAAAAACCCTGGGGGGGGGAGTAGGGGGGAATGGAGGATCAGGGCAATTGAAATGGAGAGACAGAGAGAGAAAGAGTGGAACTGAAAGGATTAAAAAGAAAGGCTACTGAGATAAGGAGAGAGAAAAGGAGAGTACAGAAATGAGAGAAGAAGAAAGAGCTGTGAAGATAAAGAGAGGAAGGAGAGCTAGAAAGATAAAGACAGAAAGAAACATAAGAGAGAGAGAAAAAAGAAAAAGTGCAGAGCCAGACAGATAGACAGGCAGACAGACAGAGGGAGGGAGGGGGAGAAAAAGGTGTATAGCTGATAGAGGGAGCAGAGCGCAGCAGAGCAGGGCAGCTCTCAGACGGCTGTCTAGACAGTGTCAGGGGAGGTGTTGCTGATTAATGACGCACCAAAAACCATCCACCCCCCTGCCACACACACACGCACACACACTCAGCCCCCTTCCCTGCATCTATCAGCCACCCACACTCATTGGCTGCGTCTCCCTCTGTGTTTGTCTCTCCATGGCCTTTTCCTTTTTTTCCCGATCTCTCTGGGTGCTTTAACACTGACACTGTTTTTACCTCCTTTCACCTGCCGTCTATTCTTTTCTCATTCCATCCATCCTTCATGTCTCATTCTCTCTCTCGTTCTCCTTTTTGTTTACACGTAAGGCTTTTATCTGGCAGGGTACTCCAAATGAAAGCACATTTGGTGTGCTTGCTTTGGTGTAACCTTGCCCTCATGTCCACACAAAGTTGCCAGTGTGCACAACCTGGCCAGCTAAACTTCTCACACAGCAACATACTATTGTCTGCAACTTATCAATACTATCATGTGGTGAGTTGTGTTTATCCTTGTTCTTTGAACTCCATGTTTTTAGTTTTCCCAGTGCATCTTCTCCCACCGCGGCTCGTAAGCTCCTCCATCTGGCACGGACGCCATTAAGCAAACAGATCACCCGTCACAGTGAGTATACTGGCATTTGTTTGCGGTTCTGTATTCACAAGTCTTTGAGAACATGCCAAATTTGGTTGTGTTTGGAGTATAGTGCCAGCCGTACCCGGTGTGACATACAAGCTTCAATTCCTGGATGATCAAATATTTACAAGCAACTAAAATGCAAATGTCAGGATCTTTGTCCTGTGATAGTGTTCATGTAGCCACAAAACAATCATACAAGGGTGAGTACTAAGAAAATAAGCCAGCTGAGAAACAAAGAAGAGCTGGGAAGAGACAGAGATTTCTTTTTTAACACAGCAAGTGAAGCAAGTAGATTAGACAAAAGAGATCAGGTGCAGGTCTTCTTTTTCCCACTTTAATTCATTTTAGTTGCCATCTTTATAGTCTATACTTTTGCACTACACTGCCTCTGATTGTCAAACTGTGTTTAATGTGCTACTTGTAGCAAGTTATTTTCTATAAGTCATTTCTTCATACTGAATCGTTCAACAGGCAGAACCCAAATAAGATTCTGTAGGAATCCGGCTGGATTGCTTTATGGCACCAGGAGTTTGTTTTATGGCACAAAACAGAAAGAACGAGCTCCACTTTCAGCACAAATGGCCCTCAGGTTTTTTTGCAAAGGTGGAAAAAAGAGATTCATACATATTTAACCTTTTCAGTGACGCCAGAGAGAGAGAAATCCAGGTAATGGCAACATCAGAGTTATGAGAAATGTGACTCACGCTGACAACACTATTAAAATAAAACAGAGACTACCAAAGGTCTTGTCCATAATATCATTTGTTTATAGTAATTATCCCGAGGTTACACAATTATCTGACAGCAATGTCACATACAGCATCTTTTAAAACAAAGCTTTAAGTGCGAGTCACATGACACTGTTGGTGGAGATGGCTTATCCTGCTTTTGCAGTCCAACGGTCAGATGAAGCACTTTGCAGTTAATTAGGATGTTGAAGCAGCTAAAAGATATGTCTTGTGGAGACATTCAGAAGCATTTGCAGCCCAAGAGCTCACAGCAAATTAATTTAGCCAGTCTGGATGAAGTACAGCCTCAGCTGAAGGAAAGTTGTCTTGGTTGGTTTCATAGGAGTCTGAAGTGGAGAAAAGGGTGGAATGGCTAGAGAATACTGACACAAAGATGAAGGCATCCCTGGAGGCTAACCCCATAGCTAATAAGGCTGAACTCAACCACCTCCACAGATTGAGGATATGGAAAACCATAAGAGGCACAACAGTCCACAACTTGTGGGCATCTCAGAAGATAAAATGTCTTTGAATTTGTAAAATCTGTTCTCAGTTCTTTGCTCTCAAAGACAACTCAGGTTGAGCCAGCCCACAGGGGTCCAATACCACTGTCAAACCCCGAGGGACACCTAAAACAATTTTGGTTCACTTTCTATGTTCAACTGACCAAGAGCTGGTTCTACGTGCAGCATGTAACGAAGCGGAGATGCAGCGGGAAGGCGAGTGCATCATAATTTTTCCCAACTATCTGGGAGCCACACAGTTAAAACAAGGGAATTTCAAGGGAGGCAAGAAGGCTCTGTGTGCACTTCACATGAAGTTTGCTGTGTTGTGTTTTCAGGACATGGATGGGAACCTACTTGAACCTAATTCTAAAAAATTCCAAATATGTTATTATCAGATTTGAATAACTGACAGAGTGAACCGTCTGAACATAGGGGCTGATTGATGTTGGTTTGTTGAAGGTGTTTTGTTTGGAGGGGTTCACAGTTAGCCTGAATCAGGACATTGAATCCAAAAATAAGAGATGATACTTTTTTTCTTCCCCATATGACACATTAAGTCATATAGACTTTTTTTATTTCTAAAAGTGTCTCATAGTCAGTGGTTACTTGTTCGATTGAGAGTATTTTAGTGTCATATCAGGCTTTGGTAAGACTAGAGATATTAGCTTTTTGTAGAAGAGCACTACTAATAGAGTACCAAAATGGAGATTTGACTCATCTCTTGATTCTGAGTTGCAGTAGGCCCTGAGAAGTCCAGTTTATTCCTACATAAAGTCAAAGTCAAAGTCAAACGTAACTGTAGCATCCTCTGCAGTGATTGGCCCTCGAACCCCCGAAGCAGTATTGACAGGCTTTGTCATTCAGTATGCTTCTATTTCTTTTATAAATGCAGGAAGCATGCTGCTTTTATTGATTTCCATGGGGGCATTTTGATATAT